TGTATATCTGGACTTGTGTTTGTAATATATTTTATTAATTGTCCCCCGCCGCGCGATAGCGAGAAGCGGGGGATATAGTATTCACGACCGTCCGTCCGTCCGTCCCACCTGTTTGTTGCCGCGATATCTCAAGAACTAAACACTGGATTGTTTTCATATTTGGAACTATGGTGTATATACAGACTCCGCAGACACCAGTCGGTTTTGGTGACCTTGACCCCATTTTCAAGGTCACAGCAGGTAAATCTGCTTTTGGAGTTGGAAAACGGTGTTGCCGCGATATCTCAAGAACTAATCGCTGGATTGTCTTAATATTTGGTATTTTGGTGTATATACAGGCGGGGGACATTTCATCACTTCTGTGACAAATACTTGTTTTATTCAAAATTTCATTTAATATTGTTTTCATTAAGTTATGTGAAATCATGTGTGAAGAGATACAGCAACCACGGTCAGATTACCGCTTTTGACGCATTGTTCAACCATTGCATCAAAATTCTTTGAAGTTGTATCTCTGGTGGAGTACATTAATTATTTTCTGGTGTTTGAACTTTGAATTGTTTTTAAGGAAAGTTAGAGAAAGTTCCACTTTGAAGATGAACAACTTCAGTAGTCTTGTTATTATAAAATAATTTTGACTGTTCCAAAATCATGAAAGGTTCAATCTTTACATGCTTTAAGTCTTGTTTTCTTATCACTGCGTATCGAGATACGTATCGTATCGTGACCAGAATATCGAGATGCGTATCGTATCGTGACCTTCCTGTATCGTTGCAGCCCTAACCATAAGCATAGGTAGTTACACCATCCTTATCAATCCATCTCTTTGTATCTAAGGGGGATAATGATGTCTTGTTCATTCTTAATCCATATATCCTGTGATTGATACTTCTTAAAGTGTTCATCTCATGTTTGAATGTTCTACCATTGAATCATGCTTCTTTATACTGTTCGTGTTTGATATGCTTTTTATTATATGTACTTGCTGATGTCTCATTTTTAGATGTGATTTTGTTGGAAAATATGAGTACTGTTGTGGCTTCTACATGATGTTTTGCGATGTTGTTAAGAGAATACATGATCCTGTTAAATGTTATAGCTATTCAAATGCTTTTTTGTGTGATTTGACATTAAAGGTCTGTAGTATGACTTTCAGTGATCATGTTTATGAGGTTTGGTGGAGCATTGTTTTTATTGGACCCTAATCACTTTATGATGGTTGGGTCTCTGTCTCAGCTCCATAGCCGTGACGCTGGGAAAGGGCAGCATGTAATTAATGAGAGTAGGATATATCATGGAGGATACACTTGAGGGAGAGGGTTCTACTAATTACCGTACCACAGGAAAAGACCTGTAGACGTGAGCGCGGGGTTGTGTGTAAGATGGCCGTTGCATAATGGCCGCCATGAGTGATAAACATTGAGCTAAAGCAGAGTTGTTTTCACGGGCTGGTTGAATACATTCCCAGCGCTGCTGTCCATATATCTTCTACTTGATCGTAGATACATCACTCTGGCATTTACAATATATATTTTTCAACGTACATTAATGGTTTACTAGTTATATCTTTTAGAGTATTTGTCAATTGTGATGAGCTTACAAGCAATAATTGTAATTTGTGGTGACATATAAATATAAAACGTCTCATTTAAAACATGAAGTAAGTACGATAGTAAATAATTATATTCAAATCGCATTAAAATACAATGATAACAAGATTCATATGTATCCCAAAAGCCTGTATTCCACATTCATAGCCAGGAGGAAAGCTGCTGACTAAACAAAAGGAAGAAGCTTGCCCTTACATATATGTAGAGACATCTGAATATGACTATATATGCAAATGTTACGATACTGTACCTATCTTCACGAATTATTAAAAAATGGGCATAAAGTTCACGGAGACGAAGGCTATAGATACAATACTATATTTGATTTTTAGATGATAAAGTACATCATTTGATAATAAATTCCGTTATTGATATCTAAAAACCGATTTGCCATATTAATAAACATTTCATGATAAAACAAAATCAAATGTGTGATAGATATTCATTCTTTAGTATCCATAAATGAATTATTGATATCATATAACGAATAAATAGTAAAAAAGCGCCCTATATATTGTTCTATGTGGATTGTATTTAGTAACGCGATTGCATCACGGTTATAGTGTTAATTGCTAGTCTTTTTTCTGCACCATCATTTCTTTCATCTTATGAAAAACTTTAAAAAATGGCAACTTATAATTAACCAAGGTAATAATACTTAACCGACCTGCGTTTATTTATCTCCCTGTCATTATTATCGTTAACATGTGTCTACTTTTAAGTGTATATACTTATGCCATACATCATACTGATTAAGGAATGACACATCATCGTGAGATATATGTACTCCATACACATGCAGCACAACGGTACTTTGATTCTATAGCACAGAAAATCGTTACCCATTGTTTTCAGATGTCATTCAGACAAATAAGTCAGGTGTGACAGTTATCACAATCTCACCGGTTATAAAGATTTGATACATGCTGACTGACACTCTTGATGGGTCAGTGATTAAGACAACAGATCAATACACACGCTTCCGATTCAGTATGTACGTATGATTACATGGCTGCATGTATGATTAAATGTATGTAAATTATGTATGTGTATTGATGTGTGTGCGTGCGTGCGTGTGTGTAAATGTATGTAAGCCTAGATTACAAAATGCATGCTTCGGTCGTTTGAAGCCAGAAGGCAGAGGTATTCCCGGGAAAGAAGCCTACTCTCGCAGTTGGTCACTAGAGCTGAAACTACTCGCGGATTTTGTTTTGAATAAGGGGAATGGAGCAGAGTAACCTTAGGGATTATCGGCTGTTGTGTGACAACAAAGCTTCAGAAAGATCGACGTCCTGTCCCTATGAACAATCCTACAGATTACGGATTGAACGTCAAAAGTGTCTGTCAGGTTTCTTAAATTTTAATTACTTACTTTTGCTGGAGAATATGTTTCTTGTACAAGCGCTATAGAACATGTTAACATAAAAATATATGAATGTTGAAGCTGGGCTTCACTTCAGTTTTCCTTTATTTAGCAAGCCCCTCATACTGAAAAACAGCCTACTATATCCTGCTATGCTTTACATCTAACAAAGCTATACATTACTAATATATTAGGGCTTAATTTTATCTATATTTAAAACTTTCTCCCTCTAACAAAATCCATATGTTCTAGTATTATATTTGATATATCTGTATTTACATACATACATCATTTATAATTTATAGTCAACATATATACCTCTAAATCTTTACTATACTCTGTAATGTAATGTAATACTGTTACATTAACACCCCCCCCCCCCCCCCCCCCCCCCCCCCCCAAATCAAGTATGGTGGTTAATATCTATTAAATAAGCATATTATTTATTATTCAACCCACCTACCCCGTCGACGAAATACAGGACTGTGAAGTTGATGTAAAACCTAAAACTTGATGATGATAATAAATGAATGTTAATGCAACAAGCGTTGCGTGTGAAGATATATTGAATACATTTGACACATTAACATATTTCAACACCTTTTTTAACTGTAAAGTTAGATACATTTAAACATAAGTAGCATATAACCGTTGAAATTAAAAAGTCTACAAGAAGATGTATTTCTTATAATAGAAGGTCCATAAGGGTATTTAGTATTTCGTTATGAAAAAATAGTTCTCTTGATGTTCAATACTGGACATTTCCCCACACCCCACTTTTTGTTTGTTTATGGTAAAAGTTAATAAGAGGAGGTTTGGTGGGGGGCTAGAGGTATCTTTTCAGAGGGTGTTATTTTGGCATTACCCACTATTTACTGGAAGATATTGGAAATGAATATAGACTGTCATGTTGTCTGACTACAGATAGGATTTGTTATGTTAACAATCACTGGGGGTTTCACATTAGAGGGGATTTTTACAATTGACCAAATGATCCTGCTGAGTATTGGTGCTTAGTGATGTCAAATGGAACGTTTTATTATAAGAGGAAATTGGTAGTGAATACTTAATACCATCTATACAGGATATCTTCAGGATTTTTAGCCCTTTCTTTCTCTGTGTGTAATTCCGATGGAAAGAAGTCACTCAACCAGTTCATGCATTCCATGGTAAACAAAGATCAGACTTGGTTAGAATCTGTGTTTATCCGCGACAACTTCCCACTGGTGACATTGTAGTAAACTTGGGAAGTGGTGAAGTGGAAGAGATTTCTGTAGTGTGCTACATATTTTGTCTTATCCATCAAATTTGGTACGAGTTTTCTACGTTAGCTAACCTAGTACTACCCATCAAGGAGTGTTGATATTCCTACGTCCAATCTTTATTAACCATTAATCTTTCGGGAGCTAGCGGATAACTGTTATGGTCTTTATATAACGAATTTGGATATTCCAAGTCAACTTCTAGTATGTACCCTTTATCGGAATCTGAGGGGATATCCTTCACTTCGATATTATTCACATCGACCCACTCAAAACCACTTGTGGGTAAAGGTTGAATCATAGCCCATCTGTACAAATTATTGGCGTCGAGATATAATATGTGCGTATTGGGTTTACTCGGATCATATCTTTCCACTAATTTATTATTAGCCTTAGAATACCTTTTCACCGCCATCGATATACCACCTTTTAATCCTTTCTCAATAAACAAGTGCATATCGTAATCGGTGAGTAGTTTTAGTTCTACACCGGTCTTCTTCAACAATGCATCTCACGATAGTCTGGGATGGGAATAGTACCATGCTGGGTCCAAGCCGTATTGTTTTAAACATGTCTTTCTAAATATCTCGAATATATCGGCGAGTAACAGTACATAGGTTTTAGCAGTGTATGCTTAGACCGTTAGATTGGTGGTGAGTCCTATTTGTGCAGCATCTTGGTATTTTGGCTATTAAATTATTTGATCAAGTTAATTATCCTCTTTGCCACAGAGAAACACCTACATAAATGTTTTCTGTGCTACAGAATGCCAATGATGGTCTGACTGATGTGGACCTCAGCTGGAATGCTATTAGAAACAAGGGTGCAGTAGCCATTGCAAAGGCTTTGAAGGTGAGACATGTACACAATCTCCTCTTGAATTCTGTTTTGTGTTTCAGAAGACACATCTATACCTAAAGAATCTGTAAACTTAAGAATCTGATCACTTTTTGTGTTGCACAATGTATCCTGTTAAAACAAGTTGGGAATCATGAAATATAAATGCTAATACTAAGTATTAGAACAAAGATAAGTGTTGACTACAAAATCCTATGCAAGAATGTTTATGTCTGTTAAATGCCAAAACACATCCTATAGTTTGCATATGCTGCACCCAGTAGCCTCACACATGTGCATAGGGTGTCATTCCTGATTGTAACACTTTCAAGGAAGGTCGGTTAATCTCTGTTGACCATTATTTGTGACAATCCTGTTGTTTCTGCTTATCATGCAGCAGTGATTTACTTACTTCCATTCATTGTTTGTGTATGAATTAGCAATGCAGCGTCTGCAATGCATAGAGTGTCTACAGGCTATTGGCATGCTGGAAACTGGCAGAAGTTAGCATACAGTGGCAGAAGTTAGCTTGAAGCATACATGTTCAATGTTTCACAGTCTGTGATTAGCAGAACTGGTACCCCGTTCAGGGCATCCCAAGTCAACGAGAAGAATACAGGATCGATCGATTGATCTGAAACCAGGATCTGTGAAATCAAGCTCAAAAGGCAAATCAGGCTACTGGAGTACAATTTTTGGGTCAGACGATTAGAAATTGTCTACATTCAGCTCATCTCCATGATTGATGGCCATGTGTTGTGCCATCTGTTACAAATTGTTGTATTGCAAACAGTGGTGTACACTTCGAAAGTAGGGTAATTATCTCTGGTCATGTGTCATGTTTTTACATGAACCTGAAAATTCACTTTGTACTTCCTTCATAGATGTACCGGTAGGCGTGTCATTTCAACACTGAAATGAAAGTCAAGCCAGAGTCAACCTGAGACGTCATGACAGATTAACTGGATCAGTTATGGTGTGGGATGGCATCACTATGACTGAGTGAACCCCACTCCATATTGTTTAAGGAAGGCTCACAATCGGGACAACATACTGATGCCCTTTTGTTGTCCTATTTGCAAAGCGTGCGAGTCTACGTCCCATGACAGTGTTCGTACACACTGTGCACAAATTGTCAATACTCACCTTCAGCAGCACAATATCCATAGAATGCCACCATGGCCAGGAATGAGCCCAGATCATTAGCCCATTGAACACATGTGGGACATGACAGGGAGATGTGTGGAGCAACGTCATAGGCTGCTGACCACATTGGCTGAACTGGGCCAGGTGCTGCAAGAGGAATGGAACAGACACCCTCATATTGCCATTGGGAGACTGATACACAGTAGGAATTGTCGAGTGAATGAATGTTTGACAGATCATTGCAGTATTACACACTGCTGACATGAAAAAATATTGAATTTTCCTATCTTACTGTTGTGTTAGGTTTGTTTACATATTGTGAGCGCCAATGTGCATGCACTATTACGTCATACCTCCTATGCTCCAGCATCAGGAGTGACATGACCAGTACCTGTGGTCAGTTACGAATAAATCATCGTTCAGTTCAGACGTCTTGCTGCTTGATGTTCCTCCCAGTCTAGGTGTGGGTCGTACAAGTACCTGAGCATGATGTGCAGTCTTACAAATACATTACAGTGGCAACGAGGATAAAAACTTCAAAGTATGGAAATATTACGTGCAAGGTTGAATTTTACAGTAGGCCAGTGCAGGGTTTTGCAAATGATAGTGGGACTGCTAGTGATCATCACAATGGCAGGCGTCATTGGTGAAGTTGGACAATTTGACGAAAATGAGGAAGAATGGTCGTCGTATGCAGAAAGAGTGATTCTGTTCTTTGACGCAAACGAAATTCCGAACGAACGACGAGTGCCCGGATTTCTTTCCATGCTTGGCGGCAGAACATATGGAGTGCTAAAATCTTTACTTTTGCCTGCAAGACCGCAAGACCACAGATTGGATTACTTAGTGACACGTCTACAGAATCACAACATGCCCAGACCACTAGTCATTGCAGAAAGATACAGATTTCACAAACGGATACAAAGTGAAAGTGAAACAGTTGCGCAATATTTGGTTGCATTGAAGGGACTTTCGCGAAACTGAGTTTGGCGTTACTTTAAATGAGTCTGCGGGACCATCTTGTGCTTGGTTTGAGAACTATTCCAATTCAAAGGAAATTGTTAGCAGAAAATGACCAGACTGTTGATCAGGCATTGGCAATTGCAAATTCTATGGAATTAGCATCCAAGGACTGTGATGAGCTTAGCTGAGGCGGTGACAAGAGGCACGGATCTACCGAAGTGTTTTCGTTCAACAGCAAACCTAGGACTGGAAACACTAAGCTCTGTTATTGTTGCGGTAACTCATTTAACCTTGCCAACAATTGCAGATTTAAGCATACAGTGTGTTTGTTCTGTATCAAACGAGGCCATCTGCAGGCAGTTTGTCGAATGAAAAGTTCGGGTTGTGACCCAGGATCAAGTTCAAGGTCAACCGGACATGGAAATGTAAACAATGGCGGTAAGAAACCAAATTCTTTTGTAAATGCCATTGACACAACTGACAATGATAATGATTTCATTATCGATGATCTATCGGAGTGTTTGAATCAGATGTTTGCCATGCCCGGAGGTTCTGGGGTCAACATTAATGGTACTGACCTAAGAATGGAACTGGATACTGCTTCGCGAAATTCCATCATAACTGAAGAAGTGTACAAGGATCGCTTTTATGGATGTGACTTGGTCGAGTCCACAGTACCTTTGAGAACTTACACAGGTGAGCGTGTGGCATACTGAAAGTTGATGTTGCAAATGGAAATGACATGAACAAGTTGGATTTGCATGTTGTAAAAGGGGAAGGGCCCCCTCTGCTAGGTACAGCCTGGCTACCATATGTGGACATTGATTGGAAAAGGCTAGGTGATGACATTCACATGTGTAGTGAAGATTCAAGTCAGGAAAAGTTGGAAGAGATACTTGTGAAGTACTGTGATGTTTTCTCATAAGAAATTGGTACAATTAAAGGTATTAAAGCTCACCTGTCTGTCAAAGAGGGAGCATGAAAGCAAGGCCTGTACCTTATGCTTTACAGGACAGGGTGAAGGAAGAGATTACAGGAATGGAGAAGAATGGGGTATTGATTTAAGTGGATCACAGTGAGTGGGCAACTCCGATTGTACCTGTTATGAAAGGGGATCTAACAGTGAGAATTTGTGGTGACTTGAAGTCTACAGTGCTACTCTGGCTGGTGGAAGAAAATTTTCGAAAATAGACTTAGCACATGCATATCAACAGATGGAAGTTGATACAGATTGTCAGAAATATTTGACAATTAACACACCAAAGGGACTTTACAGGTATACCCGTCTTGCTTTTGGCATTGCCTCTGCACAAGCCATATTTCAGGCCACAATGAACCAGATATTGCAAGGTTTGTACAAAGTATTGTCATCAGGATGACATTTTAGTGACCGGATCAAGTGATGAACAACATTTCAGAAATCTAGAGGCAGTGTTGAAAAGGTTGCAGGAATATGGTTTGAGAGTGAAGAGGGGAAAGTGCCAGTTTTTTGTCGATTCAGTCAAGTATCTAGGTCATGTAATACTGTAAAACGTGAAATTAACGTGAGCGTGAATTAAATGCGAAAAATGCGAGTGGTCTTTGCAGGGTTAGAAATTGGCACTAGTCCTGTAGTCCTTGCCAAACTGGCCAATAGTTAAGGTATCATAAGGACTAGTAGAAATTTGCCAATTTTAAGGGTTTTGCTATATGTTATCATTATAAGGACTAGTTTCTACCCCTGGTCTTTGCTCGCATTATTAAACATCGCATTTATAACACTAAGACATTTTGGATAGCAGAAATACCAACTTAGACATACGCTGAAAACAAACAACTATGTATTCCAATCAATGTTTATTGAGCAGCCCTTGTAACAAGTACATAAACAATGTCATTCAAACACTAATTACATCCTGTGAATTGATACTGCTGGTGTGAAGACAAGCGTTCTACTCACTCATGTCATCACTTATCACACCTGCAAGTCCAGACAGACGCCACCCAACACAGTGTCTTTGCTCTTTACGTCTGCATCAAAGGCCGACACGAGCCAGCGCGCACATATTGTTTTAGCTGAAGTACTCTACTCAGCGCTAATAAGCAGTGCTATTTGGTGTGTGATTGGATAAATGAAGGTTGGATTAAGGTGAGGATTCTCCTGTAAACCTGACAGAGGCCATTTGGTTTAGATATAAATCCACTGATGCTTGAGAGGAGGTGGTGTCTCATTCATATTGAGTCGCATTTTTGGCTAGGGGCCAACGGTCGCATTCTTTTGGAGACGCATTAATTTCACGTTTTACAGTAGATAGTGAGGGACTTCACACTGCTAAGGATAAGGTACAGACCTTAACTGATGCTCCAAGACCAGAGAATACACGCAACTACGATTTTGGGTGCTGTGAACTATCATGGACGGTTTTTTTTAGCATTTATCTACTGTACTACATCCACTAAATGACTTACTGAGAAAAGATAAGAAGTGGGCATGGTCTTCCCAGTGTGAAGAAGCTTTCAAGAAATGCAAGTGCATGATTGCCAGCTCGGATGTGGTATGTCATTACGATCCTTCACTACCCATACGCCTTGCATGTGATGCTTCGTCATATGGTGTTGGGGCAGTACTATCACACGTTACAAGGGATGGTTCGGAAAGGCCCATTGCATTTGCTTCCCTCACACTAAGAAAGCTGAGAGTGGATATTCTCAAATAGACAAAGAAGCTTTGGGGATTATTTTTGGTGTAAAACGGTTTCACCAGTACATTTATGGCAGATATTTCAAATTAATCACAGATCATCGCCCACTGACTGTTTTGTTTGGAGCTGGAAGACCGTGCCTACACTTGCGGCGGTCATCCTAAGTGCATATGATTATGAGATTGAGTATAAGGCATCAGAGAAGCATGCAAATGCTGATGTGTTATCCAGACTTCCACTTATCAATGTTACCAGGGTGCAGAAAGAATCACCAGATGACGTGGAGATGTTTTACAACCGACAGTTTGAGCAACTACATGTACCAGTTACTACTGCTGATGTTAGAAACGAAACAAGACATGATCCTCTACTGTCGCAAGTGTACACAGCAGTGATGAATGGATGGACAAGAGAGCATGAGTAAGATTTCATGATGAAAGCATATCACAGTCGAAGGTTTGAACTCACTGTACATATGGGCTGTGTGATGTGGGGAATGAGAGTAGTAATTCCCTCTAAACTGTGACAGTGTGGCAAGAATTACACACGGGACATTTGGGAGTTGTGAAAATGAAATCTGTAGCAAGAAGTTATATTTGGTGGTGAAATAAAGGGGATTGCCAAGACATGTTCAACATGCCAGAACACCCACAACAATCCACAGTTAGCCCCTGTACACCCATGGGCTTGGCCGTCACGTCCATGGACCCGCATTCATCTTGACTTTGCAGTGCCATTTATGGGTCACATGTTTCTGTTAATTGTAGATGCATTTTCAAAATGGCCAGAAATTGTAGTAATGAATTCTACATCTTGTGCTACAGTGAAAGAAGTACGAAAGCTGTGTGCACAGTTAGGTTTGCCACATCAAGTGGTTACAGATAATGGACCGCAATTTGTGTCAGAAGAGTTCAAAGCATTTTTGAAATGCAATGGTGTCATACATATTTTGTCAGCTCCATATCATCCGGCTACTAATGGACAAGCTGAGAGGGCAGTCCAGTCATTCAAACAGGCCATGAAGGCAGCTAAGGAAGACGGTGGATCTGTATTGACAAAGGTTGATCAGTTTCTGCTGGCTTACAGGTCGACTCCTCATTGCACTATCCGTGAAACTCCAGCAAAGTTGTTTCTGGGTCGAGAATTAAGGACAAAGTTGGACTTGCTGAAACCAGACATTCAGTCTGCTATGTCATCTAAGTGGGCAGGTCAAATGAGTGATCCAGCTGAGACTAGAAAACTGCAAGTAAACCAGGAGGTGTGGGTGCGTGATTATCGTGCACATGACAAATTGATCCCCGGTGTTGTAGGGAATTAAATTTAAGGCAATATTTCTGTACACAGTCATTTATTCAACAACCACCGCCGTTAAACACATTTTTCGAACAATGTCACAATTCCAACTGACCGCAGGGAAGGAGGACAAATATCACAAATTTCACATTACTCCAAATCATCATTCAAAAGGTTTGGCTGACCCATTCAACATATTGTGGGTGACCGACTGTCCTGACTGTACAAACTTGACCAACATTCTGATTGTCATAATGTTCACTGATTTACAAAGTTGACTGAATGACAGACTGGTACATTGACTGGCACAATCTGTAAGAAAATAAACAAAGCCTAAATAAGTATAAAATTCAAACCAAATTAAATTAATCTACAAAAGAAATAATACATTAATGTGAAAATAGCATGAAAATACCATATTGTTACACCATAATGCAGACAGCATTGTTTACATAATATACATATTGTTGGATTTTCCCGATTTTAAGCAGTTACAACGATCAAAATCTTCCGCCGATAAAATATACAAAATTTACCTTTTCATCCCTGTTGTAAGATGTATTAACAATCTTATTTCGTTTATATGTAAATCCCGTTTCGTCTAAAGTGCCAATGCCACTTTTGTACTTACTGTTTTTTGGCGCTAGTAATAAAAGCATGGCGACCATCGCCTATGAACCAAAACATGTCATCGTTTACCGTTCATCAAGCTTATAAACAAGCAACTATCATAACATGGTGGCAGCGGTGAACAAGATTAATCACCAGGATTACGCCATAAGTAGCGGACAGCCCTAAACACGCAAGTTTGACCATCAAACGAACTTTTGCCATACCGGCAAGAAACACGTGTGTAACCCAGTTTCGTTTTCGAACTTTTGGTGTCATCATTAACCAGAAGCATGTCTCGAATTCCTCTTATGGACTGGCAACAGGCGGATATCGGCAAATCATTCAGTTTATTCAAACAGACTTTGCAATTATTCTGTGAGGATGAAGAAATTACTGACAAAGAAAAAAAATCGCTTTGAAGATAAAACGTGGACTTTGCAACGAGGGTTTACGTCGGCTGAACGCTTCAGGTTTGAGTGAACGTGACCTAAAAGATCCAGATAAAATATGGACCTATTTCGAAAAACAACTCAAATTACAAGTTAATTTTAGAGTGTATAGACTTGAGTTGATGCAATTCAGACAAAAGGAGGAAGAAAACAGATGAATTTGTAACCAAGTGCAAGACACTAGCATTAAAGTGCGAGTTCGATGAACCAGAACTTCAAGAAAGAATATTGGAATTGCTAATTGCTAGCACTCCTTTTGAGGCTCTACAACATGATTTGCTGAAACAACCCAAAGGCTATAGTCTCTCCAATGCTCTAGAAGAAGGTCGGCGATATGAAGCGATCAGCGCAGGTCATCGTCAAGTCAAAGAGCTCAATCCAACACCAGCTACCACTGCCGAAGTAAACGCCATCAACCACAAGTATCGAGCCTGTCCGAATTGCGGTCTGAAACACAAGCCGAAGTCGTGTCCAGCTTATCAAGACACCTGTAATGCTTGTGATACCAAAGGTCATTGGTCCAAGTTCTGCCGAAAAACCAAGTGGAAGACATCTCGACAAGGTAGACACAGATCGAAAAGTAGACAGACGGAAACCAGCAAAGACCTTCAACTCAGTTGACAGTAACCATGGTAACAACGATCCAGTTACTACCGATGATGAAGATTACTCTGTTCTGTATCATGCAGTCACCATATCAAACCAATGCATGGATGCTATCGACACAAGCCGTGATTCAGCTTACACAGATCTCAAGGTCAAAGCTCCGATGATCAAAGGGATCCACAGTCTTCGTCTAAAGGTCGACACTGGCGCGGCTGGAAACACTTCCTGTTCGAACATTTCGACAAATGTACGGAGATCGTCCATATGCGGATATTCTCCAACCTGCAGACGGTATCAAGCTCGCCGCTTACAACGGTCTGGAGATCAAGTGTGTTGGTACCATGTTAATCAAGTGTAAATTCAGAGACTCTAGTTTTGAAAATACGCTATTCTACGTAGTCGACGTTCCAGGTCCCGCCATCGTTGGTCTTTCGTCATGTGAATCACTCAACAGTGTGGAAGATCTGAAACAGAAGTATCCTCAACAATTTGATACTATCGGGAACTTTCATACATCTGCTAAACTTACCTTGAAACCAGATGCAGAGCCCTTCTGTGATCCTCCCAGGAAGTGCAGCATACACCTGAAGGATAAAATCAGAGCTGAAATAGATCGCATGGAAAGCATCGGGGTGATAAAACGTGTAACAGAACATACAGACTGGTGTTCCTCACTCACGTACGTCACCAAGTAAATGGCTCCTTACGCATATGCCTTGATCCGTTTCACCTGAACCAAGCTCTAAAAATATGTCCAACCAAGATACCTACCTTGGAAGAATTGAATCCGGAGTTTGCCAAAGCCAAATTCTTCTCCAAGCTAGATGCCAAGGCAGGCTATTGGTCTATACATCTCGACGAGAAATGTCAGCTCCTGACAACATTTAGGACGCCGTTTGGCAGGTATTGCTTCAGACGACTCCCGTTTGGATTATCTGTCAGCCAAGACATTTTCCAGCAGCAGATGTGAGGTGAGGTGAGGTGAAAGTGGGTTTAACGTCGCGTCCAAGATTATTGCACTTATATAGCGACGTGCATGCACGTGTATGTGTGTGTGTGGCTGCTTGTACTAGTCCGGACTGATGCCGATTTATAGTGCTAGCTCACTGAGATACCATGCCGCAGTTTAACATGAATACCCAACTCAGACACAGTATACTGACTCCGAGCCGACCAGTCCTTGTTTTAGGCCCTTAATGCCGAGCGCCAGACAGGGTAACAAGAAGTACAATCTTTTAACGTCTTTTTGTATGACGCGGCCCGGGATCGAACCCAGGACCTTCCACTCTCCGGGCGGACGCTCTACCAAAAGACCACGGAGGCGGTCCCAGCAGCAGATGAACGAGATACTCGAAGATCTCACCGGTGTGGTTGGCATCACCGACGATGTGTGCGTCTGTGGTGAAACTGAACAGCAGCATGATAGCAACCTCATCAAGCTGATGACCAGAGCCAAAGAAAAAGGACTTGTCTTCAACTCGGAGAAATGTCTGATCAAACAGAAATCTATCCCATTCTTTGGTAACTTGTACACCGACAAAGGAATCCGTCCAGATCCAGCCAAAATATCCGACATTCAGAAAATGCCTTCACCTGTCAACAAAGAGGAACTACAGAAATTCCTTGGTATGCTTACCTACCTGAGTTCGTACATACCTAACTACAGCTCAGAATCCAAGGTACTACGTGATCTGTTGAAGGATGCTATCTATGTGTGGGAACCTATTCACGAACAATGTTTTGATCGTCTGAAGACTCTCGTGAATGAAAATTCATGTCTCGCCTACTACGACATGGACAAGCCATTGACTCTTGAGGTCGACGCATCAATGAAAGGACTAGGTGCAGCACTTCTCCAGGAGAAACCAATCGCTTTCGCATCGAAATCCCTTACACCTACACAATCAGCCTACTCAAACATTGAGAGGGAAGCCTTATCACTTGTTCATGGAATACAAAGATTTCATACTTACCTGTATCGACGCCATTTTCATGTTATCACAGATCACAAGCCACTTGTGATGTTACATCAGAAACCCATCAACCAGGCTCCACCGAGACTCCAGCGAATGTTCTTGAAGCTCACAGGATACAACTTTGATCTATTATATCGACCTGGCAAGGATATGACGTTAGCAGACACCTTGTCGAGACTCCCGAATCCTGAGAACACAGCTGAAATCCAACTTGATACCAGAGTGGATGGAATCAGTCTCTACGATGTTGATGATTGTAGCATGGATCTAATCAACTTTGGAACTTCAAAGCAAGAACATCTCAAGAAAGCTACATGTGCAGATACTACTCTCAACCTACTGAAGGAAATGGTACATACAAGCTGGCCCGAGAACATCAAGTCTGTCATGCAAGTACTAAGACCATACTGGTCATTCAGGGATCAGTTAGCAGTTGAAGATGGCATCATCTTTAAAGGTCGTCAAGTGCTCATACCAGAATCTCTTCAGGAAGATATTCTCACACAGCTTCATGCTTCACATCAGGGTGTTGAGAAAACCAGGAAATTGGCTCGTGAATCAGTCTACTGGCTGTTAATCAACAAAGACATTGAGAAATTAATCAAATCTTGTGCTTCTTGTCAAGAACTGATGCCACAGAACAAAGCTGAACCACTGGAACCTCATGAGATACCATCAGCTCCATGGCGCAAAATTGGAACTGATCTTTTCCAAATTCGAGACAAGCACTTTCTCGTTGTCACAGACTATTTCTCAAAATATCCTATCGTCAAGCAGATACCACATCCAGTAAGCAGTCAAGCAGTGACTAATGAACTGAAGTTCATGTGTTCTATCCTGGGTAAGCCCGACACTGTCATTAGTGACAACAGAACACAATATAGTGGGCACCCGTTCCAACAGTTCTGTCTGAACTGGGGAATCACACATGTGACGTCGTCGCCACGTACACTATCCAAGATCAAATGGTCTGGCGGAGAGGATGGTCGGACAGTAAAGCCAATCATCAAGAAATGTCTTCTGAACGGCCAAGACATTGACAAAGCATTGCTACATCTCCGTGCTACTCCCATCGCAACTGGTGAAATGCTATTTGGTAGACCTCTCACTACCACACTGCCCTCCCGGCAGGAAACAAGTGTTTGTGCAGCGGAACAGCGCGAACGACTAAGAGAAGCTCAATCATCCATGAAGAATCATCATGATCGTACCTCACTACATCATGAACTACCTCCACTGCTCCCAGGACAATCTATCAGATTTCACAACCAGGAAACTTGAACATGGATTCCAGGGACTATTGTGAAAGTTTACCAGTACAATCCCAGATCATACATCATTTCAACAGCAGCGGGAAGTGTTCTACGTCGCAACCGAAGTCAACTTCGAGAAACAGCTACAACACAATCTTCACAAACTACAGCAGCAACTAATCAAAGAAATCGCCCTATCAAGCTCTCCACTCCACAACCAGATAACAATAACAAGTCAATAACAACAACTCCTAAGAAGAAAGTCACTTTCGCTACCAAACCAGTCACCAAGCTCATCTCAACTCCATCACCTCAACATTCAAGCAATCAGCCACAACCCGAACAGCAATTGAAGAAATCAAGAAGTGGTCGTGTAATCAAGACACCACAGAAACTCAAAGACTGATATAATATCTTCAGTTAATGTGTCTGATAATGTAAAAATTTATGTTATCATGGACTCCAAAGTTAATTTCATGTGTTATTGCAAAAGTGGATTGCAATGTGTGTTTATTTCTTTATTTCAGGTTATCAGTGCAAATGACTCTAATCTGTGAACTGTACTACAAATCAGTAATTGTTCATCTTAGCCATCTAGTGTATTGAACATACACATCCCCATTGTGCAATGGAGTTACCAGACTTTTTCAACATATACAACTCCAGTATTTTATCTAGTCATTATCCAAAGACTCTAGATACTCAAGGTGCTATAAGCATTTGTGTTTATGTATAACCTCTTAAAGGAGGGGGATGTTGTAAGATGTATTAACAATCTTATTTCCTTTATATGTAAATCCCGTTTCGTCTAAAGTGCCAATGCCACTTTTGTACTTACTGTTTTTTGGCGCTAGTAATAAAAGCATGGCGACCATCGCCTATGAACAAAACATGTCATCGTTTACCGTTCATCAAGCTTATAAACAAGCATCTATCATAACAATCCCCCCCGACATATAATAACGGGGGGATATAGCCATCAGTATGTCTGTCCGTCTGTAATCATTGTTTGTCCGGAGCATATTTCCTAAACCGTACAACCTAGCTTCACAAAACTTGGTACACTTACCAATCAGGCTCAGTAGTAGCGCCTTTTGCTATTTAGAGATTTTTAGAATTTTATATTTTTGTCGTTTCCATGGGAATATGATGAACTTAGGAAATTTGAGGGTAGTGCTCTTGTCCGGACCATATCTCCTGAACCATACAACTTAGCTTCTCAAATTTTTTTATACCTTTCAAGCAGGTTATGTAGTGGTGCCTTTGCTATTAACAGATTTCTTTTTTTTTCTTTTTTCAATTTAAATTGAAAATTGATGAACTTAGGGTAATGTCATCGTCTGGAGAATATCTTCTAAACCATGCGACAGAGATTCACCAAACTTAATGCAAATATCAATCATGTTCACTAGTAGTGCAGTTTGTTATTTATAGATGTTAATCTTTTTAATTTTTAGCCCCTGACATATAATGAAACAAGTTGTTTAGGTTTGTTTTTTTGTCAATCCCTAGTATATTCTCTTTATGCCTTTGTGTCATGAGGCTACTACAGAGCTATTCATATGCGAATCTACGAAGTTATTGTTATTACAATTTCATGAGATCAGAAAGTGAGCTACATGAACCAATATTTAATAACCTTCATTATATTTCTGGTTTTGGCATCAAGGAAAAAGATGTCCTTGCCGATCTAAATACATTTGAAGGTACACACAGTTTACCGACATGCCACGTCGGGGGGATATGTCATCTTTGGATGACTCTTGTTACAACATGTAAACTGCAGAATTATATATATTGGCTACAAACAAAGCATTTTCCGTTCATACTCACAAAATGTTGGTGCCTCAAATCCCCACAAAAATCAAAGTTTGTAGATAACCGCAGCTATCTACTTCCAAACAAAACGTGGTTTCCAAAATAGTGGCCAAAATCCTAAACCGCACAAACCACAACGGAGAAATTGAAACTTGGTGAAAAGTCTGGCACATACCCAAACTTGGTAATTCAAATTTGGTAAAACAGCCTTAAAATACGAAAACTGTTTCAATTCCCAAAACACAGGAAAGTTGACAAAATATGGAGAGAGACATTATGAAGTTGATGTTGGCGACAGGAGTTGTCGACGCCATATTGATCAACTTAGAGGTAGAATTGCTACAGATATTGTTGAAGGTGACAAACTTTCGACCAAGAGTGGTATGGTGTCAAAACTTATGAGACAAAGATGCCAGATGCAATAATTGTACCATGTGGCTAGACACTAAAGCATGTGGTGATGATTCGGGTAGAACATTGCATGTTGGGAGGCAGGTGTGTGTTGCCCCCAGCAGTTACCATGGTTACAAAACAAGCTGTCAGGCGATCAACTAGGACAGTAAAAGCTCCTGACAGACTTAATCTGTAATGCCATAGATCATAAACCAAAAGTGTGGTTAAGTTACTTACTGTGTTAAACAAGGGATTGGTTTTGTGTAACTCAGTGGGTCAGTGTTAAAAGTTGTAATGTTGTAATTGTTCTTTTTCTTTGTACATCAGAGGGGTGTTAGATTTTCATTTCAAGGGGGAGAAATGTTGTGTTAGGTTTGTTTACATATTGTGAGTGCCAATGTGCATGCACTACTACGTCATACATCACATCACACGCCCCAGCATTGGGAGTGACGTCATGACCATGTACCAGTGGTCAGTTACGAATAAATCATCGTTCAGTTCAGACGTCTTGTTGCTTGATGTTCCTCCCAGTCTGTCTGTACCTGAGCATGATGTACAGTCTTACAAATACACTACACTTACCTCTATCATCTTTCAAGATAGTTGGCTGTTTTAACATCTACTGTCATACTTAACTACCAATTGAAATGTGTTTCCAATTCATTCATTATTCTATCATACAACCATGTCTAGAAATTAATGTATTATTTTAGGTTATTTCAGAGTATATATACTATTTTTTAAGAGTATATGTGAAAGTGTTGTTTTTTTATATAGACAAATGCAACCTTGGAGGTTCTTGACCTGTCATGGAACGGCTTTGGTCTCACTGGAGCAGAATCACTTCAACAGGCTCTGCAAGTGAATACAACACTTAAAGTGTTAGATCTCACGTAAGTCATCTATCAGAAGTTTGTGATTGCTTATTTTTTTTGGACATGGACTAAATCTCTGTGTGTCTCTGTGTGTCTGTGTGTGTGTGTCTGTGTGTGTGTGTCTGTGTGTGTGTGTCTGTCTGTCTCTCTGTCTCTGTCTCTCTCTCTCTCTCACTCTCACACACCTCTCTCTCTCTCTGGCTTCTACCAGTTTTCTAACACTGACTGGCTCATGTGCTGCAGTGAGTCGATTTATTTTGCTGTCTAACCGAAATGAGCATGACAAAAGTGGGCTAACGTCTGTAGGGACATGAAAAATAAACTTTTGAGGCAATATTTGAACATTGATTGGTTACCCATGATCCATGAAGATTTGGATATTACAAAGATGCATGTTTATTAATTTCTTCAACCAAAACAGACAAAAAGAAGAGTGGAAGTTCATCGAATGCCATTATTATGCACCTGTGCCCAGAACCCTGTTATCTATACCAATTGTTAAATATTTTATCATAGGTCAGTTAACCAGCCGGTTAGATTATTGATTTTTTTAACTTATCCTGCATTACCTCTTTAATACATTTACTGCATGTGAAGTCTTGCTGAAGAAGAAGTTGTTGACTTGCTGAGAGGATAACCCTATCACACAGCTCCCATGTGACCACAGAAGTGATGATGTCACCGATCAGCACATTACTGCTGTCAGTCACAGTGGAAAGACCTGAGTTGATCTCTCAGCATAAATTTTTGTTTTCACTCTATTGTCAAGGTTCTTTGTGAATTATATTGTGCCTCGGGTTCGTATCTTTATATATTTCATATGATTAACGCCATAGCATAATTATTTGACACCTGGTGGTGTCTTTTTCACCACAGTAATCTCAGGTGTCGTGTTGTTTCAAGTAGCCATCTTGAATACTTTACGTGGCCATGGGGATCTGGTGGTTTGCATTCTGTATTATTGCCTTGTATTTCATCACTGAACTAACTATGCTTGCAATTGTATTGTTTATTAAAGTGTTGTTTAACATGTTCTCATAAACTTGTTTTTTCATAAACCCATGACTAGGAAAAAAAAGATTAGAGCATACATAATCGGGCGGGGAAGCATTGTGATTACACTCTGCTTCATTGCAGATAACATGCCATCTTGTAGCAAGTGCCGATGTTACAAACTGGCGTGGGATCCCGTAAACGCAAGCAGAGAATGTCAGATGTTTCAGAGCCTGCCTTCCACCCTTCCCCGACCCTGACCACGTCGCCCATCATCCCGACATCGGTCCTGGCAGACACCCTGGTTTAGATGACAGTCCTCTGACACATTTGTTGTAGTCTCCATTTGGTCTCTCATGCTGTCCTCTATGATGACCATCCCATAGTCTATGGCCACCACAATGTCGACTGGCGCGGTGCCTATGGATCGCCACATGCTGCTTCAGCAAACGTACCAGTACCCGGTGCCTATGCAGAACAACCTCCAAATGCCTCCGGGCTTTGGGCAAACTGTCTACCAACAGTCGCCACAGCAGCAGAGCGAGGAAAAGAAGGACACTGTTTGTTCTGACCCCACAGCCATCCCTCCAGATCTTTGTCAAAGACATGATTACTCTCGCTCACTCCTACCTTAAAGGCACCGAAGTATAGGAGGACTATCCCTTCTCACTTGCGGACTATGGCCATACTCTGGATGAGGACTTACATCGAATGACGGGCTCTAACCGCCCTACTAACTATGTACCAGACAATAAATTGGCATACATTTAAATAGAGCATACATAGACGACTGCCACAGAGTGGAGGCTTCACCCGGACGCCTTCGCTCTTCTTTGTTGGCACCTTGGTCACCCAAACATCAACCTATTCACCATCAGCCAAAACTACCAGATCCAAACCTTTGTATCACTGATATCGGATCAGCAGGCTTCGGCAGTCGACACCTTCAGCGTCCCCTAGGAAGGACTAAAAACATACGCTTTTCCGCTGCCTGTACTCCTTCCCAGTGTCATCCAAAAGATCAGGTTGACACGATCTGATCTTTCTCCTCCACAGCTTTCACCAGTTATCCCTACGGTTTCTTCCTTTGGCAGCAATCACCACCACAAAGCCAGCAGCTACGTGATCTGTGAAGGGGTCCGTGAATTGGTCTACAAGGTCATCTTCAAAGACAGAAGGATAGCTGATCCCAGCCAACCACCTCCATTCAGCATCAGACAGTGGTTTCACCGCTATCATCACAGAAGCAGACACACGTTGGATCAGTCCTTTATGCAGCTGCAGAGTGTCATGCAGCCTTCACTCAGCCTCAGACCTTCCCTCAGTATCAAGGGTTCACGCAGCAAGGAATTGGCAGTCAGTTGCAGACGCTCATGCAGAAGCCAACATGTGCGCAACCGCAGATGTTCACGCAGCAACCAACCTCCACACAGCCTAGATTATTGCTACAAGGTGTGATACCAACTTCAACTACCAACTCAGACTTATTAGTCAGCGTTACCCAGTGAGTTTAGTTGCAGACAATGTCTAAGGAATCAACACAGCATTCTCCGTCAGGGGATGTCCCAGACTTCACACCGTTCTTCCACAGCTCCGAAATCTAATGCCTCATTCCTTTAATAGGAAGAGAATTGATTGAGCGTACCTTTGAAGGGGAGTCATCTCGATTGGAAGATCATGCTTCCATCTAGCATCATCTAGAAATATTATGAACTACTGTCCTGGATCACCGATAGACTCCCCATCACTTCACCATTCAGAGACTTTTACCCCTCCAATACTGTGTCGAAGGGGAGGACTTCAACAATTTGACTATTCCAAAGTAGAAAAGAATCTTTATACATCCTTTGCCAATGCCACCAAAACTCAAAGACTGCCAAAAGACTGAGCATGATGTTAATCGAGCTCAAGAATCCAGCTGTTGATCAAATCTGTCCAGAAGAAGAACTATATGTACAGTCCATTCATAGGAATAAGTTTAAATGCAGAATTACTGGTTTCCAGAAAGTCAAGAACAAGCAATATAGAGGATCCAGTGCCAAATGATGAAGAGAAGCTGACAAACATACACCTCCAGGTATACTTGTACAGCCATCAACAGTAGGTAGAAGGCTAGGAAGATACTGGAGTAATTGGGACATCCTGTACAACCCATTTGTCACAAACATATTCAAGAAGGGTTACCACCCAACCATTCACAAGGAACCTCTTCTCATACTAAGACCACGAATCATCGGATATTTGGGAAGACTGCAACCCAACAGAAGCAATCAACAATCTTCTTGTCAAGTGAGCAGAAGAGATAGTGCAACCAGTAAAAACTCCTGGTTTTTTACTCACCAATCTTCTTGGTCCCCAAAAAGAACTCAAACGAAAAGTTTTCGTTTAATCTGGAATATGAAGGCGTACAACAAGAAATATCTGCAGAAACCAGACAAGTTCCGAATGCTCCACCAACCTCAGCTAAAGCAGTTGATAAAGCAGCAAGGTCATCTCGTAAGCATTGATCTACAAGATGCTGACCTGCACATCCCCATACATATCGCCTACATGAAATACCTGAGCTTCCTGTATCAAGGGCAAAACTTCCAATGGGCTGTCCTGCCCTTTGGAATTTCTACAGCCCCATGTTTGTTAACACAGGTGACTAAACCAATCATGGTGTTCCCTCACAACAAGGGGGTCAACTGCACCTTATACCTGGACGGTGGCATCCAGGCTCATCAAGCTGAAGAGTTACACAGACAACAGCTGAACGTCACCCTGCTTGGTTGGTTAATCAACTATCAGAGGTCAGACCTTCAACCTTCCTAGGACCTCAAGTTCCTAGGCATCAGATTTCTTATGAAGCTGATTCTGATTCACGTACCTTAAGATTGGTGGATAAAGATTCAAAGCTATCTTCTGACAGCATTTCACATCAGTCAAAAGACAGAACAGACAACTCAAATGTGGCGTTCTACATACATCTTCAAGCAATGACTAAATCTGCAGCCAATCTGAGATTAACATTTCAACTGTACAATCGCACCAACAGCCTCAACTTAAGGATAAAGGCAAGACACATCCCAGAGGTGTCAAACATACTAGCGGATGATCAATCCAGTAGCAGTCTGACTGGTGACAAGAGAAGGAGGTTGCCTATCGGTATATCTGTTTGCAACCCAATTCCGCAGGCATATAACAAACAACCTTTGTCTTGTCTTGAAGATCAACAAATGAAACTCAGAGCCTCAGTCTGGGATCTGAATGTGGTGCTTAATCACCTCACCAGTGATGCCTACAAACCTCTTCAACAAGCTGATTTTGAACATCTAACCCAGGAGACACTATTTCTACTTGCCTTAGTAAAACATGCGATCTATTTCTCATGTGCAAGATTCAACAGCGGCGAAGATGCATCGGCTCCTCTCGGTCTCAGATGGGATTTCATTACCAAGAATCAGCCAGATTTCTGGGATCAGAGGACGCTGAAGATTTATCAATATGCCCAGTTCGAGCATTACGTATCTATCTGCAGAGGACAAGTTCCGGAAGACAAAGGTTGAGAAGACTGTTCATTTTGTTATCCAGTAATAGTTCAGCAGAGTTCACAACCATCTCCTTCTGGATGAGGCAGTTATCATAAGAGCCTTTAAGGCAGCAGGACTGGATCCACCATCAGCACCCAATCCACATGTAGTGAGAGCCATAACGTCAACCCCTTCACGGCAACTGCTCCATCCCGACGATAAAATGGAAGGTTTTTTCTAGAGATAAGACACTGTCTTTGCTAATCATTTTCTCAGAGACTTCTCCATCAATTTTGACCATTAGTAGTTGCACAGCAACTGACAGTGCCTACTAGAAGATTGACCCCCCTACAAGTACTCACCCATTATCAGGCAGACTTGCAGACGTCAGGTTACTGTGCCATAACCAATGACTGAGAGTCCACATTCCCCTGTTTTACTGCATGCTTCAGATCATGAGTGAAACCGATGGTGTTATGTTTATGACCTTCTCTTAACGCTATAATCGTTTAA